AAGGCATTTTGTGGAGTGAACCAGAGGATGGAAGTCCTTTCACTCTCTCTCTCTGCCCCGCCTCTCTGTAACTCTGCCTTTCAAATAAATAAACCTTTAAAAAAATAGAATGCCTTTTTCCCATTAAGCAATACTGTTCATTAGTATTATCCATATGTGCATTTATTTAGAGATCATTTTTAGTCTGGTTAAAAATCCATATGATTTAGTTATATAATTTTAGTCAACACTAATTTTCAGTGGCTATAAGCGAATTTATATAAATTTAATAGATTCTTAAAACTTTAAATATTATTTATTTCATCTCACTGACAGTCTTATCTGAAAGATACAAAATAGATTAATCTATGCTAATAAGAAAGGTCTAAAATGCCAAGCAATTATGGCTACTAAAAGCCAATTCTTCTCTTTTAATTATGCACTGTGCTTTTTTGTTATTTTGAAATAACTGCCTACTAAAGTGGAAGTGTGGTTTTAAAAACACAAAATATATGAATATTACATGTCTTTTCTTCAAGAATGCTTCCCAGTTTTAAGTTAATTCTCAATCATTTTAAATAAATTACTTTTCTTTATTTTTCTTTACTAATAAAGCACAGTTAAAAAAATACTAAGTATCCAATCTAGTAGCTATAAAACATCTCTGTCCTTTGAAAGGACAATATTATACTTATTTAAAAACAGCAGAAGAATGTTCTGACTTTAGCAATGTTTCTCATCTATGCCTTACACAAATTTGGATCAGTAACTCCTGGTTGATTGTTACATGACTTGAACGATGAAGTAAAAATATTCTTGTTATAATGTTATTTACAAAAACTAATTTAATTGTTAGAGATGCAGATGGATGAGAAGGAACTGAAAAGTGTATTTGCATACAACCTTTTGTTCTTGACTTCTGATTGTTTCTAAAATAGGTAGAAAGGATATCACAAATTATTAATCAAGTAAGTAATGCACTTTTATAGCTGACTGATATCTGAGAGATCATATAGTTTAATTTTAATTGGCTCAACAGTATAAAGCCTGTTAGTGTCAGAATTTTGACTACAGTCCAAGGTTTCTATCCTTTTATTATTTTCCCAAAATTTCATCATATTTCGAACTCATACCTATATGTGAGTGAAACAGGCATCAAAAGTGTGAAAAGTTTCTTTTAAAAGCTGTACATTTAGCCATTCATCTTACATAATTTAGACATAAGCAGAAATACACATAATATAAGAGAATCAATTAGAATTCTCCAGGGCCGGCGCCACGGCTCACTAGGCTAATCCTCTGCCTTGCAGCGCTGGCACACCAGGTTCTAGTCCCAGTCGGGGCGCCGGATTCGGTCCCGGTTGCCCCTCTTCCAGGCCAGCTCTCTGCCGTGGCCAGGGAGTGCAGTGGAGGATGGCCCAAGTGCTTGGGCCCTGCACTCCATGGGAGACCAGGATAAGTACCTGGCTCCTGACTTTGGATCAGCGCGGTGCACTGGCTGCAGAGCGCCAACCGCAGCGGCCATTGGAGGGTGAACCAACGGCAAAGGAAGACCTTTCTCTCTGTCTCTCTCTCTCACTGTCCACTCTGCCTGTCAAAAAAATAAAAAATAAATAAAAAAATAGAATTCTCCAAACATTTGTGTGATAGTATTAGCTTGATAATACTGCTGGAATAACATTTTTTTATTAGTTAGGCTGCTGGTTTAATTTTTATATATTAAAACATTTGACACTACTATTCTGAGATTTAACTTTTCCTGATAGTTAAATCAACACAGAGTTGTAAGGAGGGAATCCTGGAATCTAAAGTTGTATAAGGAAACACAGTCTCATCTAAGAATCATAAGACCACAACTTTAACAGTCATTTTAATATATTCCAGGTTTACATAATAAAAGCCAAGACTGGGAATACTCTAAGAGATATCTAAGGGTAGTGAGATCTCTGTACTTAAAATTCACAAGTTTTCTGTCAGCTCATTTTTCCTTCATAAATTACAATCCCAGTTCACACCATTGAGAACAAACCAAAATGAAGAAGGAGAAGAAAAGGAGAAGAAGAAAAAAGAGTGGTGTCTGTTTCCATTTCTATTTAGGTCCTAGTTTGACTCCAACACGACCCAGATAAAGATACTTGTAGGACACAGTGGAAAACAAGACTTCTCTGAAAATGAAGACACTGAGCTTCCCCCTAAGTGTAACAGAGCAAAGAACAATCACTTCCTGTTTTCATCCCTCATTTCTCCACCATTAGAATATGAGAAAAAATGCTTGTGATCACCGACTTAAAAATATTTTACAAAAGAAAATTTTTAAATATTTTGTTACCTACCTGATGGAATTAGACGAAGTATTTCCTAGATAAATGCTTCAGACGAATTCCGTGCAACACACCTTGCCCAGATTGAGTATTTGAAAGACAGCACCTAACATCAACACACTACTACTCTCTCCTCCCACTCCCATCTCAAAGACAATTTCATTTTGCTTTGATATTCACGTATATCTTTACACATAAAATCAATTAGTGGCATCGAGTTAGGTATAACACTACAGAAGAGTTACTCGTACTTCTAGAAAACGTTTAGTATGATGCCCCTAGCTTCTATGAGAATGCAAGTTACTTGGACTCATCATCACTGCACCCTTACATAGCCAGGGTTTTCAGGTAGAACTACCAAGGCACACAGCTTATTTGTTTGTTGTCTTAATACACTCCTGGTTTAGTGACAATAATTGCTGGTGAGTGTGATTCAGGAAAAGAAGCAATGTCTTAAAGTTATAAAAGCTTGAAACAATAGATCACTATTTAAGATCCTCAGAATGGGGTTTGGACTAATAGGAGAAATAGAGTGTTTTAATTGCACGGGCGACTAACCACACTTTAGCACAATGAAATCCATCCGATTTTCATTTACAAGTGCTGCTCTGAAGAAATTAGCAGTTACACTTCCTGTTTACTATTTATGTTCAGGGTGCATCAATTTCCATTTAAGCGGCCTCTTTTCTACTGGAACATTCTAAGCTGGTCTATAATTGGATAATGGTTTCCTGCTTAACAGCAGCAAAAGTCTTCCTCCTCCTGAAGTGTATTGGGTAGATCACTTCATCATCAGCTCTCAGCCTGCACCAGCTGAGGGAGCAAGAGATCTACTTCCCCACGGGAGGCTGAGCGGCCCCTCTTCCAGGGGCTTGCTGGGAGGGGGGGCATCGCCCCTTTAACTTCAAGTAAGAGCATATGTCCTGGTTGCAGCAACTCAGTTACCCTGGAGTTTTACTTTTTCCAAAAGGTTCCATCAGAAGACTTGGATTTTAAGACAATAATTACCAAACACTTACTGAAGAATATGTGAGCATACTTCAGAAATGTTCACGGAAGAGGGAATTAAAAAAATAAAGTTGTTTTGTTGCCAAAAAAACTTGAATCTATACATAGGTGTTTTTTTTTTATAATACTTACTTTCCATGAATTTTTGAAGGTTCTTTGTGTGTGTGAGTTTCAAAGCATTTTGCACCATAGTAAACTTATCTTTTAATTCCAATTCCCATAAACTTTGGAAATACCTTTGTATAAGAAAAGCAACTTCTCTCTTATGTCTGTTGTACACATTCTGTTCTTGAAATTTGGGGGTTATTCTAAGATGCATGCAAATATAATCAGTCTCTCTCTCTCTCTGTCTCTCTCTCTGTCTCTCTCTCCTTTTCTTCTCCCTCTTCCTCTCTCTCTCTCTCTCTCTCTCACACACACACACACACACACACACAGGAATGCCATATGTCTCAAGTGAGACCTACTTGGAAAAAAACAGAAGTACTGAACATATCACCCAGTATCACGGTGAGGACAGTTGTTAGTTTTCTCTCTGGCAATGAGAATTTTCTCACACTGAAGACATGCAAATGGCTTTTTTTGTCTGTTCTTTTTATGTTATTTGCATAATTTTCTCCCGCAAAAATGAGAACTTCAGAAATTAACCATTTGGGATTTTGGCATTTGGTTAGGTGACCTTTTGCAAAGAGTTAGAGCTCTTCAGGGAGCCAGTGACTTTGGACTTGAGAGTGTGGAAGTACACTGTGGGTCCATGACACAGAGTGCATGATGAAGTGGGGTCAGCAGGTTGGTAATGGCACATGCCTGCATTCAAAAAGTTGTTCAACATTTTGGACCCTCTTAGACCCTTGCTTGTTGCTTTAGTAAATCAGCATTTGAATAGATGATAGAAGAAATGATTCAGTCTTGCAGTGCTGTACTCTCCTATTTTACTGAGATTAATAGTGTGGTGCAAACAGTCTTGCAAGTGTGATGCTAACTTAAATGCTGTTTGAAAAACTATACAAGTAATGCTGCATTCTCCTTGCTTTGGTTTGAGTGCTTGTGTCTCTAAAAACTGCCAAATATGCTTATTTAGTGTGAATACTTCCTTTTTATACATTCAGAGTGTTGCACTCTGGGGGGCTGTAATAAACGTTTAAATTCATTTTACTTAGACACAGGTTGATGTATGTGGCAGGCTAGGGGCAAAGACAAGTGCAGCTCTTTTATCACAACGCTTTAAACATGGTTCAGCTTTAGGCTTGTCTTACAAATCAGCTTTTCCAGTCTATTAATTGTTTCACAGCACCTGATACCTTACATGATCGCACCTCGAAATAACGGCAGGAGAAAGCACACGTGTTTAAGTCCTGCGAAGGCTATTCTGTTTGCAAATTACCATAGTTATAGTTGATCTAGTAAGCTAGAAAAGGCGAAAATCCCAAGCGGCCTTGGTGCTTTTTTTCCAGTTCCCAGGAGTCTCACCACCCGTCCGTGCGTGTTGCCTGCGCACCAGAGCCTTTCCCTGCTAATCAGGTCAATGAGTATCGCCTGGCTCCAGGGACAAGACAGGAGTCTGTCACAGCAGTTAGGGAGCCTACAAACGGAGCATGCTGGCGGAGCCTCTCCCGTTAGGAAGCATCGCACAGTCCTCATTTACTCACTGGGAGCCTCTGAGGATTTCAGCTGATCTTTTTCTCCCCTTAGACAGTGAGCAGCTCCACATAAACACGGGAGGAACACAGTAGCAGCTACTTGGAGGGTGTTGATTGAAAACTTCGATCTCCCCACCCCATTCACGGTTGATTTGCCTGATTTCTCACCTCCACCTCCTTCACAGAGAATATTTCAATTAAGGTAAGTGCTGCTTTCTCTGGATGACTGCATCGCACTGAATTTCTGCATGGAAAGTTCTGACTGACTAATCTGAGATTCTGCACTGCAGCAAGTGACTGTTTATGTCAGGAAAAGGCTTAGTTTAGAAGCAAGTGTCCTAGCGTGAGAACGGTGTTTGGGGATAATGATGTTACTGAGCAATTCTTTTGAAATATAATCACTCTGACTGGCATCAGGAGAAAATAAAAGGAAATGTGAAAAGAGAGTTAATTTCTCATTTTACCTTTTAAATAATCTACTTAGAGGACTGTTCAGTGCCTAGGTAACTTGATTTTGATTGAAGTGGTTTGTTGATGTCATATGATAAAATCTCTGATCTGAGTCTGAAAGCTTCAAAGTTAAATTAGACTGAAATAAAATTTGCAATTGAGAGTTGAGGTTCTGTGCAGCTTTCTACTTTAGCAACATCCCTGAGCTCCCTTTCAGTTTAAGGATTCAGGACTAAATCCTTGAGTCTTTTAATGGTGTCCATTTAGGAATTAAAATTTAAGTGTTACAGTTTCTGAGGCAAGAGTTAAGAAAAAGAAACCCTGGTGATTTATAGGACGTGGACATAATTTATCATTCTTATATGAGCGATAGATTTATTTTATGAGACAGATTCATAAAGAAGATTAACTGCTTTCTAAAATGTTTATGTTTTAAAAAATTTTTCAGTAAGAGATTAAGGTTGTATTTTGCTTGAAATCCTGATTTTTTTAAGATTTTTTATGTTTGAGATTCTTCTTTGTTATAAAACTAAAATGAATTGAGGTTAAGCATATATTTTACATATAGTTTAGGGAATTATCCAGGTAATTTATGTAAACCAGAAAACATTTTTTCTTCTTCATCTATTTTTCTAACACATCTGATAAAATTATCTAGAGAAAAAATGGAAGTCGCTTCCCCCCCACAAAGTTTGATTTAATTACCCAAAAGTTTTCTTTTCAACTTTATTTTGCATGAATAACAATTGTCTGATGCTTTATCCTGTACTGTGGTAAATTTCTATGTAATTAAGGATAATGAAATGTATTACTATAATGATATGCAATCTATTGATTAGTACTCTAAATATATGAAGAATAGCAACCATATTCTTGTTATTACATAGAACTTGAGTGATAAAGTGATTTTTAAAAATGAAATAACCATTATTTTTAATATATTGTTTTTAATACAGTCCTGTATGCTCTATTTATACATATTAAATGTCAACCCTCATTCTATAATGCTAAATCACATTGAAAATATCCAGATGCTTTTGTGAAGATTGTAATAGTGTCTTAAATGTCCTTCTGAGAGTGGGCACTCATGTTTCCTGCAATGTTGATTCTACTTTTCTTCTATGGGTATTTGGAGATGGGACATTTTATAAAAATATTAGAACATTGCTCATTTTTGCTGGTTATCCTTCAGAAATTCCCTAGAGAGCTTTTCAGGCTGATGTTGATGTTATTGCGTCTTCCACAGGGATAAAATATTTTCAGAATTCCCATAGGCACTGATGTACTGGTTGTCTGTGTGTTTTTAGCCAAAGCCTGAAAACATGTATCTACTTTTGTAGCTCTGAGATTCCATTTCTTTCTTTTGGGGGAGATTCTTTCTCAACTGATTCAAAGATAACTAAGAAAACAAGAGGGCCCAATAGCTTATCCTCTTTACCCACATGAGAGACCAGGATGAAGCTCCTGGCTCCTGGCTTTGGCCTAGCCCAGCCCTGGTCATTGAGGCTATGTGGGGAGTGGACTGTGGATGGAATCTCTCTCCCTCTCTTTCTGTTACTCTGCCTTTAAAGTAAATAAATAAATCTTTAACAGAAAAAAAAATTTATGTTTGAAAGTGAAGCTAATTATTCAAAGGGATATATGTAACATTTATTTTTATGTATCTGAAAGGGGAAGTGACAGAGAGGAAGAGTCTTCCATCTGCTGGTTCTCTCCCCCAAACGGCCACAATGACTGTGGCAGGGCCAGGCGAAGGCAAGGAGAGGAACTGCTTCCTGGTCTCACATGTGGGTGGCAGAGGCCCAAGCACTTGGGCCATTTTCCCCTGCTTTCTTAGGAACGTTAGCAGGGAGCTGGATCCAAAGCAGAGCAGCCAGGACTCAAACCTGTGCTCCAATATGGCATGCCAGCATCACAGGTATCAGCCTAACCCACCATGCTACAGTATCAGCACTATATATTTGAGTTTTTAAAGGAATTTTGTCATTGTAGTTATGGTCTTAATTGGCATCATACAGACCGATAAAAGAATAGAGTCTTGTGTGAATTGAGAGTTAGAATCTGTTCATTTTAAGTAGGACCTGTCTCTTGAATACACTTTCTATATTTTCCATTTCCTGATCCTCATGTACTGACTTAGGTGCTGTATTTAATTGCATTTTTCATTTACTTAGTACTAACTCATTCCTTCTATAAGATCAGAAGTTATCTTATAGGAAAACTTCACTTAAAGACGGCAATTTCAAAATTTAAAGAAAAAATAGGTTAAAACTTTATAAAACTTGCTTTATGATCTCTATCTTGTTCAATATTTGGCATTTTAAATAAAAGATAATGGAGTGTGGCAATATTTAATATATCTTGTTCTTTCCTAAATGCCAGAAAGCTGGGTTATAAACTTTTTAGTGTGACTAAATAATCATCCAGTCAAAATGATAGCATGGACAGTTCACCCCCATTTTCCACAGGAGGTGGTGGATGCTAAAGCTTAGATCTGCCTGTGCTTAAAGTTCATACTCTATACTATACATATTTCCTTATCAACTCATGCATGGTGACTGTTTCCAATATTTGACATGGTACTCATGAATATTTTAAGACTTTTAAGATAGTACAGAGTAATTATGTTGGCTTCAGAACAGTTAACTCTTGGCTTACTCAAATGATTTTTCAACTCCAAAGCTAGTAGTGATTAAAGCAAACACGCACTTTGCTTTCTTAGGTTCTGATGGAGGTTAATGCTCAAGTCTTTGCTTCTGGCTGATTCTGATTACTAGTGACAGAAAAAGCATTCCACTTTCAGCATAATCACTACTGAAATTTAGTATTTGTCATATGTATATATAACCTTCCAAGAGAGGTTGACACAATCTCAGGATAAAATAAAATAAAAAATAGACATAAGTTCAATGCTACTTGCATTGAAATAAGTTTAAAGAAGGTGATGAGGAATTCAAGTTAGTGGTGAAAGACATCTGCATATTATAAAAGAACAAAATTAACAGAATGGAATGTTACTAGTAAACAAAAAAAAAACAAATAAACCAAAAACAGATTTTAATGTATAGGACTCTCTTTCTCTACTGACTTCATATGTGTCTTAATGTCCATTTTCAAACAGATTAAGGGATATTATTTCCTCTTACCTACTACTTTTTCTATATTTTACTATGGGATTCATATACTCTAATTATTGCAATTTTACTAATTTTAAAATTCATGCAAAATGGAATTAAAAGATAAGTTTATTTGGGTGTTAAAATAAATTTGAGGGGAGGGCATTGTAGAACAGCATATTAAGGTGCCAGTTGGGGTGCTCACAACCCATATTGAGTTGCCTAGGATCAAGTCCTACCTTGCTTCTGACCCAGCTTCTTATTAATGTGCACCCTGGGAGGTAGAAGATGGTGGCTCAAGTACTTATTCATAGGAGATACTCATTCATAGGAGATACAGATAGAGGTCCTGCATGCAGCTTGTAACTGTCCTGGCTTTTGTGGGCTTTGGTGCAGTGAGCCAGAAGATGAAAGATTTCTCTCTATATCCTCCCTCTCTCCCTCTCCATCACTCTGCCTTTCATAAAAATGAACTAACTTTAGAAAGTTTAAAGTCTATGTATATGGGGTAACTTAAAGCATTCATGAAAAATACACATTTTACACAAATACATACACACACTAATAGATTTCAAGTTGACTTTATAGTAAAATAAACTTATTTCATTTTCTAGAACTTTTTAAAGTATCCTAGTCTATGTGTACACAAACTATTTCAATTCGTATTTTATATATTGATTCAAGTGATAAACATATTAAAACATACTTTCTTCAGTGGAATCCATTGTCTTCTATCTTCTAAGCCACTAAAACTTTGAAATTTTACTAAATATTAATCTCAACTACCATGCCACTTGAAGTGGCAGAGTCCAGGAATATTGATTTAATAAGTCTGAAAAAGGACTCCAGAACTATAGTTTCAAGGCATAACCAGGTAAATCTGTTATCAGATAATTGGATGTTCTAGACAATATCTGTTATATATCAGGGTCTATAGAAATATGACATAATCATCAGTGTTATAACATTTCCATGTAACCCTATTGTGCAGCCAAAGTTGAAATCTAGACAAGCAAATTCCAAACTTTTTTACTTGGGCATGCTAATATCTGGAGCCCCTGTTCAGTGGTTCTATAGTGTGGCTTCAGATTCTTAACTTCTAACAGTCTCCCAGGGTTATTGATGCTGCTAGCAGAAGAGAAACATTGTTCTCACTCCACCATCTTGTCCTATGGCTGCTACTACAGGTAGGCAAATAAATGTCTATCCTGTATGGAAGTGTCAAGTCAGAGTCCCAGAACTGCTTCTTATCCAGCTTCCTGCTGGTGAACACCCTGGGAGGCAGCAGATGATGGCTCAAGTACTGGGGTTCCCATGTGGATGACAGAGTCCTGGACTCCCAGCTGTTTCAGGCATTTGGGTGAGTGAACCAGCAAATAGAAGATTCATCTATCTTTCTCTCTCCCTCGTTCCCTTCCTCTCTCTTTCCTCCTTTCCTTCTCGCTCCCTCTCCCTCTCCTTCTCACTCTCCTCTCTCTCTCCTCTGTCTTTCAAATAAAATGAAAACAAACACACTAATAAATTACAAAGAAAGAACCTAGAGTAGATTGTGATGAACTACCCAGGTCAGCTGGGTCAGAGGTAGATGACAGAGTCAAGATGCTCTTCTCATCTTTGATGGATGATGGGAACTCAT